TCGAGAAGGCAGTGTACCTTATGTCGTATTCAGTAACCGGAGATGGTGAAAAAACGAAATGCAGTAAGTTGAAGATTTAATGCTCGAAACGTCAGCTTTTAAAACTCCTCATGGTGGCCAAATAACGTTATCACCTCGGTTGATGATACCTTGTTTTACTCTCCCACCGACGCATCACCACAGTTTCTTTAGAAACTTATCCCCTTTATTCATATTAGAACATCTTTTATAGGAAAAAATTGGAGAAAATAAACTTAAGCAAATGAAAAGAACATTAAGGATTGACATACTCTTGATCAAACCTTGAACAGCAACTTTTAATTCCGTGTCTCAAATTCTTCGGTTTTTCATTGCTTTGGCGTCTTTACGTTTTGTGATTGGTCAAGTGAAATCGCACCACGCTCTCGACCAATCAAATGTAAAACTGCTTTTTTTTTTTTACCTTTTTTTGATACCGAGGTAATGGTATCAAAACCGTGTGGAGTCCAGTTAAATCTGTAATTGCACGAGTGTTAACCAAATCAAACGACCGCAAAGGCGGGAGTCCGAATTTTTTCTCACAAGTATTATCAGCTGCAGGAGGTAAATAGAAAAGGATTTTCGGAGTTTGAGCAGCCAATCAGAGCGTGCCTTCAATGCTATCGTTTGTTTTAGTATAAACTAATACTCACCAATTTTACTCCTTTTCAAATCTAATGTTGCAGACCGGCCTTCGTCATATATGATTTATGGCAAATGTCGCAGCCTGTTGTGCAAATGTGACCTGATTGCTGCTCGATGCTTTGCAAAGAGTTCTTACCAAGAGAAATATAGAAAATATCCTCAGGAGAAATGCGGAGAGACTGAGGAGCGATGAAATGGCTGTCGAAGCTCGAGCCCTTTTTTGTCATTGTAATTAATTCAATGCATATCAAATAAAATATTCACTATGAACTAATATGGCCCCTTTTTTATTTTGTCCTGTTTGCAATGTCTACACATTTACAAAAGTCTACCCACAGACCACAGAGTTTTAAACCCATGTTGTACAGTTAATATGTGTCGGATTTAACGTCGAATTAAGTCTTCCTTTTGTTATATGATTACGGGTCTATATAAACGATGTACTCATTGTTGACAATGGAATTCCTTGTTATTGACATGTTTAACGTTACAAGAGCTCTATTTTACTTTTTTTTCTATTAACTATCCAATTTATAAATGTTAGCGTACTAGATTTATTTGGATAACGTCCAAGCATTGACCTACGTGGTCGGACAACATTGACAAATAGAGGTAATTTGAGCCACGATTGCCTGCAAAAGAAAGGCAAAGGCGTTTTCTAAGTCACATTGAAATTTTGTTGAAAAGAAAAGAAAGAACACCTTTCGGCCCCAGTGCTGGCATAGAAGGCTTTGAAGGGGCTTGCTTACTGGAAATAAAATGACTGTTTGAGACGGTAGCTAAACACCCGAGAAATATCTAACCTTCCAAAAGACAAGTATGGCTGAAGGGCAGGCGATGAGCACGAATTGCAACGACAAACTTGAAAAAAATTGCTAACTTTCTAACGACAGACAAACCACTGGGCAAATGACAAAACCCTGGACAAAGAGGTAACTTCATGCGTCCTAACTATCTACAGTTGATGTCTCCCCACCCTCCCTCCCTCCACACGCAATCAAAAGGAAGAAGACTCTTTGAAAGTCAATTGGTTTGGATACCTCTCAAACATCCCGAATGGACGTCTTCTTCTTTCCAGTTGGAGTTTTCCGCTGACCACTTGCGCTATGTAAAGAGATAAAAAGCACATTATTCATTCATGCAGTTTGTTCCTGAACAGATGGTAACTTTCTGGTTACGACATGGACAGGGTGGCATGGTGAAGTTGTTGGTATTTCTTTTCTATTTGGTTGAGGAGGGAAATAAGTGTTGAAAACGCACCGTCGGTTGTACGTGCTCCCCTTATCGTTACAAATTCTTACGTCGACTGTGTGGTATTTAAAATTTAATGAATAACATTATTATCTTTTAGCGTTAAACCGATGAATTTGTATAAAGGAAATCACCGATGGCTGATATATAAATTAATTGAGAATTAATTCCTTTACCTGCTTATTTTAGAAAATAAATTATTCTTTTTTTCTGAAATTGCAATGGTGGCTTCAAATCATTGAAGTGATTTTCGCGTTCAAATAAGTCAAGGAGAACATCTTTGGTTTTTTCAGGGAAGCTCCATTTAAGTGACCGAAAATACGTTCCATAGGATTTGGGAGAATTCTACTAAAGCGTGTAGAAAGCGCCACAATAGAAGAGGGGACCAAAAAGGCTGCTGTAACGTTAAAGCTTGTTGTACGTTAGACAACAATGAACAGGAATATTTTTCCATGCTTACAGAGAAGTCAATAGAGATCAAAACTGGCCAAAGAATATACCATTGTCGCGAATTGAAGTCTCAAATCTTTATAAAAGAGAAGAAATACAAGGCTCTTGATTAATGAAATCCTTTTTTTAGATGGAGATGATTGGCATGATCGTTTTGGTAAATATAAACTAACCTTGAGGAAGATCCATCAAAAATTTTGAAAAGGGGACATTTCTCCTCTGCTCCAGATGAACCACACAAATCTCCGATTCCTGCACTGGCTTGTGACACTGGATTCTTCTTCGCTTTCCCTAAACAAGGAAAGCAACACAGGGGGAATCCAAAGATCGACCTTAAAACGGCTGCCATTCTTCGGCTTTCCTCAAACGAAACAGCAGTTGAACCCTGATTGAATTTATAGGAGGAACTTTTGTTGGTGTTGGGGTGATTCAGTTTGACCGCAACTCGTAATGTGTATCTCTCTCTGATTTCCTACGAGGAAGACCCTGTCTTAGCTCATTACGCGAAATGTAAAGAATCAAAATAACTAATTATCTTCGGTGTTTAAATCGATCGAGTGCTGTTGAAAGAAGCAATTTGTTCAGTTGCAAAACAAATTTGCAGACAGCTGTGCGCAAGTGGTTGAAAGTGGATAACTGTGGGTTCACAGAGATTTAGATTGATGTAAAAAAAAAACTTGTCAGTGATAATGAGTCCTCATGGAAACAAAGATTTCTATGGCTGATTTGCAAACTTTGCAAATCAGGCACAGAAATCTTTGTTTCCATGAGGACTCATTAAAGTAACATTTTGCTTGAAGCAAAATGTTACTATTCAGGTGTTTCATCAATTTTTGTAACAAGGTACAACAGTCATTTTTACTTCGCTATTGAAGAAAGACCTGAAAAATCTATACAAGGTGTCCAAAACTTATGTCAACTCCAGCAGCCTTGTAAAACTGAATCTTCCGGATAAGTTCACCGAAATTAAAAATCCCCCGCATGAAACCAGATGGATATTAAGAACCGACACGACCTAAACACGTGCAAATGCTATAAAATTAAAATCAACCATAACTCTATTTATCAAGCTTTATTTCATCATGCTGGGTAGGATTCTGTCACGAGCAGGTATGATCATTTTTAATCTTAAATGATAAAAGTCTTAAAACAGTTGAAATTAATTGGTCACTTTTTTCTTTTTCAGTTCCACCCCGTGATGTAATTAGATGATAAGAAAATTGAATAATTTTTTGATCAAGGTTGCGTTCAACTTATGCACTTCTAACTGCAACTTCAAACTGCCATATATATAGGACTCAAGATATTTCAGTTTCAAAATACTACCACTAATAAAATGCCTTGTTCCACTCTCAAAGCAGGAGAAGAAATGAATATTATAATGTCTGAAATGAAAAGAAAGAGAAAAAAAACGGAAAAAGGGTGGAAGATGAACCTAGAAATCGTTTTGTAAATAATTTATTACCTAGATTATACAGATGGTTTTCGTCATAAAAGTAGACTTTGAGGTTTTACTGGCGTAAATTTAAGTAACTCGCATAGGTAATGCGTTTCTCCGGCCTCATACACAACTGAGCACCGTCATTTTTTTTATTTATTTTTTTTTTTTGCAGTGAAATGCATGTTCAGTGACCTCAGAAATCATCAGAGAGCAGTTACGTGCGGTTCCTCAGTTGCTGAATTATTTCACGTTCTTCGTTCCTGTAAACGAAATTGCGAAGTTATAAAATTAGCAGAAAGACTTGAAGCGCTAGAACCTAGGATTTATCGACCCGAAGTATTCACTAAATCTATTCTTTGTACTTGTGTAATATTAATGGGGGTAGTTCAACACTGAATAAAACCTCTCCTCAAATTTGTACTCTTCACAACAACATTTTAAGACTCAGGAACAATCAACTGCCCCAAGGCCCTGAGGACATAGCCACGTAATCACCTCGGTCAGTTGAAAAGGATATTCTTGTCCTTTAAATCACGAGACCTGTTGTTGCAGCCCTTTCGCTGAAGCATGCCGCAATAGAGGTCAAGGTAAATGAAAATATTTTCGTTCAATTTTTTTTCTGGCCCAGAAGATATTTAACGAAACGATACTCTTTAATTAACATCATAGCTTGATATGTATTGGAAAGTATCTTAATAAGAAAAAAACATTTACATATTGAGGCTTTCTCAAAGAGGATGCCATCCTCGCGAAACTGAAATTTTGACGGTTCTCACCGTCAGCTACCTTTTTTTCCCAACAAAAAAAAGATTATTGCACGAAAACTACATCAGTAGTTTCAAAATGGTTAGGTTATTCACATGCTACCGGAAATGATGTATGTCGTGGATGCTGATTTCGATGTGATGATCACAAGCTTGAGTGATTTTAAAAGGTCGAGGCTAACAGAGAGATGAAATAGTTTTCACTTAACAGCATTTGATTTATAGTTTTCTTCTTCAAATAAGGGATTAACCCTTAACCTTAGGAATTATAAAAGCAAATGACGAATTCAAGTCACTTCATTGCCTCATTGCCAAATAATTCTGATGTGACAAGCCCGTGACTTCCGGTTTTTGAAGTACAAAAGAGAGAGCAAAGAAGTACAATGTAAATAGAGTGGGAAGTCTCTTGGGAGGACACCGCTGACAAACTTCCCTACCTTTAAAATTTTGTTTATTACATAAACGTCTTGTTTGACATGGAAATTATGCTCATGTTTCGCTTGAATTTTGTATCTTTGGCTTAAAACCAAGAAGAAATGATTCAAGTTAGAAACTTACTTGAAAAGGCACCCGTCGAAACTATCGCTCAAAAGGTAAAAGGTGAATAATTCGAGTTATTTGGAGCATTGACAAGTATCAGCTATTGAGCGAACCACTCCTCCGAGCTCACGAGAGTCAAGTATTTGATGCGCTATGGAAGAAGAAGATGGTTATTTCAAAGAAGAGATCTGCACTCTGACGCCGGGTGAACTATTCGATGCCTTTCTTCAAACTACCGATCTCCAGGAGACGCTAGACGTTTTCCGAAAACTTTGTCAAAGCGTCGACGTGAACCCCCGAAATCACAAGACGCTATATGCTTCCCTCAAGTCCAAATTAACTTCTTGGAAGTGCAAGTCTCTATGGACGAAACTAGACAAACGAGCGGAACACAAGGACTACAGAAACAAGCCGTGTGTCAAAAATAAAGTGCTCATCATCGGTGCAGGGCCATGTGGATTGAGATCGGCAATTGAAGCCGCTTTGCTCGGTGCTTACGTCGTTGTCATCGAAAAACGAGATCGTTTTTCTCGCAACAATGTCCTTCATCTGTGGCCATTCTTAATTGTGGACTTGAAAAATTTAGGAGCTAAGAAATTTTTCGGACAGTTCTGTGCTGGAGCCATCGATCACATAAGTAAGTAGTTTTCCTTATTCCCTTGAATATTTGTTACTTCCGGAATCTTAGACGTACTTACCAAATATCAGAGTACATTTTTGCGTGAGAAATTATGGATCGTTTCAGTATATTATACAAAACAGTTCAGCAATTATTGCCGAAAAAATCGATCGAATCAAACCAAACTGACTCTTAACTATCCGGCAATGATCGCCATTTGGTTTTTAATGCTCAATTTAAGTCATAATTCGTGTGATTTCTATCATGCATCGCATGAGGTTCAGTACATTACATAACTTCTCCTGTTCTCCTCAGTGTGACATGACAAGAGTTGAGATGTATATTCTCTGTAGTGAAACAAAATATGACTTCTACAATAACCATTAGTGATCATAAAGGATTCAAACCTTAAACACAGTTGTTTTTCACTCTTAAACATATTTTTCTTTGAAGACAACACGACGCTGAATTATTTTTTTCTTCTAATTAACCCAAAGCGAGGCAATTAACCTCATAGAGCGCCGTTCCGTCTCAAAATAAATTCTTTAGGAAATAGCTCTGTATTTCCTTCTGTTTTGTGAGTATCTCTCAAGTGACCGTTATAGGAAGGTTCATGATGAATTATCCGTTTGTGTATTGTCAGAATTAATTTCACAAATTAGAGACTGCAGGTGGCTTTTTGCGAATCGGTGTAAGAGTTGCAACAAACCATTCAGCGCACAAAAATAGTAACGAGGAAATGAATATCTTTCAGTTCTTCCTCATCAAAATGCAGTTATTTGGCTAAGGATGACTTAGCCTGATCCTAAAAACCGTGCATGGAACAAAAATGCTGTCCCACTGGTATTTAAACAATTTGAAATTAACTACACCTCTTTTCCTGCAGTGATGAATAATAATGCCTTTTGTCGAATTCAGATTTTTAGGTTAAAAATCTATTTTTAGCATGCTTTTTGAACAAATTTAGAACCTTTTTTGGATAAGGATAGCTCTTTATTGTTAAATTTTAGTAATGCAAGAATTATTTAAAGAGGGAAAATAACTGGTCTATCATCATTCCTTTTATCAGAAGGCAACGTGCCAATACTTTTGAATCATTTTAGTTGGTGATCAAGTGCTCTCCACTTGAGAAGTAAATTCATATTATTTACCCAAAGTTCACTATTGAAACATTTTGAGTATCTCCTGGCTAAACAAGATCTTATCTGTGCTTGTTAAGCAGGTTGAAATACTCTGAATACAGAGACATGTATAAACAACATAATTAAGTAATTTTAATATCATATGCCAATGAGTGGAATTTCTTATTTCAGGTATTCGTAGACTTCAAGTTATTCTACTTAAGGTGTCCCTCTTGCTTGGAGTACAAGTTTATGCCAAATGTGGATTCCTTAATCTAGTGGAGCCAACAGATGGTAAGTACAGTTGTTTTTCTTGCTTTTGACTTTGTAGCCCCCATTGTGTTTGACCTCTGCCATGTTTGTAAATCAAACTTTTTTCTCAAGTAAGAACCCCTCTCCCTCTTCCTTGATTGTTTTTATAGAGTGTTGATCCTGTTGGCCAAACTAAGTAGTGTGGATTTACTAATTATTAGGTTTACACATTTAAAACATTGAGAAAAGTTATTTTGTCTTAATGCTAACTGTCTGTGGAGATCATTTTGTCATTTACATCTCTATAATGCTTGATATGGGTTTTTTAATTTCAGCTCATGGCTGGAGAGGAAACTTTGACTCACCCTCTCATCACCTCAATAAATTCGATTTTGACATTGTGGTGGCTGCAGATGGCAGGCGTGCTGCATTGAAGGGTTTTAAAGGAAAGGAATTTCGTGGCAAGCTGGCCATTGGTATCACTGTGAACTTTGTGAATAAAAATTCAAAGGAAGAGGCCAGAGTTGAGGAGATAAGTGGGGTTGCTTTCATTTTCAATCAACAGTTTTTCCAAGACTTGAAAGAGAGCACTGGTATTGACCTTGAGAACATTGTGTACTACAAAGATGAGACGCATTACTTTGTGATGTGTGCAAAGAAGAACAGTTTACTTCAGAAAGGGGTGCTCAAAAAGGTGAGTTTAGACTAGGTATCAGAATTTAGAAAAATAAAGTTACCTTTAGAAGAGTATTTTCAGAGGTTTAGCCATTTAATAGTTGTCTCCCCTCAATTGCTCAATTGAGCATCCTTGAGCCAACACAACCCTTTGTCTTTACCTTCATGACTTGTTTGTGGTGTTCACTAAGAACCAGGAAGCAATAAATAGTGTATTATCAGCTCTAACTTATTGCAAAGCATCATGGTTTGTGTGGTGTATAACACAGGAAGTTCTGCTCTCAAACTTTTCAGTCTTTTATTCATGTAATGCATGTCCCAGGGGATTTTTTGGTTACATGTATTGTTGGTAAATAAATCTCTGTTGAGTTTTCTTTACATCTCATTCATATTTTGAACATGAAATGACACCATATACAATAGTCTGATTATTTTAACTAGGTTAAGCCACTGTTTAAATTCAATTCAGCTGAACCTTTTGGATCAGTATTAGTATCTGGGCAACTTCCCACCTACCCCTCCCCTAACCTAAAATTAACCCTGAGTTGTTATCAATAGACTGTTGTTGGGTTAGGGGAGGGGTAGGTGGGCATTTGCTCAGATACTGATATTGATCCAACCTTTCATTATGACAATTATTTTAATTTGTTAACAGTGTCAATAAAGGGCCAAAAGATAACAATGGAAAGACATTTATTTAATTAAATCAAGCCCTTAAAAAGAAAACCTGAGGCACATTGCTAGCATAAACCTTATGTAAATAATTGTGGTCTCAACTCAGTGTTTAGCCCATAGCAGTCTGACTGTTTTTGTTGTATGACCTCACAAAGCTGGTCTTTTTGCTTAGAATACACTTCACTTTACACCAGAATTTATTGGTAACTATCAGCATCCTGTAAATAACTTATTCAATATAATAATACAACTGTATAAAACTGCATAGAATTGCCCAAATTTACTAGTGGAATGAAACTGACCAATCCTTATTGACAAACTGCTTATCAAGATGCAGTTTTCTGATAATGTACATGTTTTGTATAGAATAAATTAAACTAATTAGTTTGAAGCTGCTAAGTATAATCTATGTTTTATAAACATGATCTCTCTGAGAAAATGTTGACAGCAATATCTTGTTAATGCAGGATATAACATGATCTTTAATATTTAAAATAAATTAATAACATGGCTAGTAAATTTGTCTAATCAAATTCAATTGTGTGAGCATGCTTCATATTCCCATTGTGCATGCTCATGATGTCAGCAAACAAATCCCTTGAGAAAAAACATTTTCTCTGCAATTTTTTACTTGGAATTTTATTATTAAAAAACTGGTTAAGACTTTGGTGGCAATTTAAGCTAAACATGGAAAGTTGTGAGCCAGCTGATGAGGAAGAACTGCTGTTTACAGCCTAGCGAAATGTTTTCCTGAAACAAAATTATCAATGGGCTGAAGCGTAGCAGAGGGAATATTAACCCTTTTACAACATGTAAACCATCAGGTTGAAAATGCTATAAAACAACTGGTTCATTCGTCAGCGTGCGTTCATTGAGATATGAAGCACTTGGGGAGTTTGGAGAGCACTCAAGGAGCTACATATCTTCTTTGTGACACACTTAATTGCTGCAAGAACTTGAAATCTAATTCTTTACCTTCATTCACAGGATTTCCAAGATGCATATGATCTTCTTCAAACAAGCAACGTGAACCATGATAAGCTTCTGGCATATGCAAGAGAAGCTGCAAACTTTTCCACAAGCTACCAGCTACCTCAACTAGACTTTGCAAAGAATCACTACTTCAAGGAAGATGTAGCAATGTTTGATTTCACTTCTTTGTATCACTCTGAACACGCTGCCAAGATTTATGAAAGGAGGGGAAAACGTCTTCTAGCATTAGTCGTAGGAGACAGCTTATTAGAGGTAGGATGAAATGACATGATCCTATATTAGCCCCAAAATAATTTCTCTTTATCTACGGGAAAGCATGGGTCAGGAAGGATTCATATCAAGGGCATAGAGTGAAAAGGAGAAAATAAAAAAGGCACAAAAGCCTCTGACCTGCACCTGATTACAATTTTTTCTTAATTTTTTTTCAAACTTTGCCAACATTTCTTTCAAATTTTGCTGATATACAGCTTCTCCTTTGGCTTAAATAAAGTTTGAGCAAGTATTTCATAGACTAGCAAGGATATTTGGGAGCATAGTCAAAATGTTCACGTTTTGTTTAATGTTGGTTTTAAAATTCCTATGTTGTGTTTTGGCTTCTTTCTCCATAAGCTAAAAATATTTTTCACACTTTGGAAGTCCAGAAGTTGCAAATGAGGTTTGGGTATTGGTATTATGAATTTCTGGTTAATTAATTGTGTCATGTCTCTGTTTGCAGCCATTTTGGCCAACTGGCTCAGGTTGTGCAAGAGGTTTCTTGGGATGTTTTGATGCTGCCTGGACAATGAGAGGTTGGGGACAGGGAAGGGAACCCATTGACCTGCTCACAGAAAGAGACAGTATCTTCCGGCTTCTTGCTCAGACAACTCCAGAGAACATCTCCAAGAATTTTGAGGAGTACAGTATTAATCCAGCCACTCGGTACCCAAACTTGAACAAGTCATGTGTCTCACAGAACAGAGTGAAACATTTGTTTGATAACAAAAAAGGACCAATTGACCAGATGGATGGATCTGAAGCAGAACCCATGGACACAAATAAAGACCTCGGCGCTATTGAGGGAGGAGGTGAGAAAAGTCTTGGGAGGGTGGTTCTGGAGGGAAAGGTTATGAATTAATATTATGGGAGTAATTGTTGCAATTCCTTTTTAAGAATCCCTGAAAAGATACTGGAATGTCAGTTTATAGACATGACTTGCTCCTAAAGGTAACACCTTGTTTAAGCAACAAACAATTAATTCCCACACAGTTTTTTTAAAGATTACATCCCGTGAGTACCAAGATAAGGTTTAGTGACAGTCATAAAAAATACTAATGTCAATGTTTAGTTAAGGAGACATAGAAACAGTCAAGATCAATCATAATTCATTCTGAGATGACATAGTCTTCTTTTTTATGAGCTAGAGGACTGGGGCTTTTAAGAAGGTTGCACAGGGTATGCTTTAATAGTAGTATCAGTTCCAGGAGCCCACCCACTGCTGTCTTCCAGGTTTTCTTTTCTTTCTGGAAAGACACAACTACCTGACTAGCGGTGATATCAGGGATTTTACTGGATGACCATTTTTAGTTGTATTTAGTGATATGGTTTGACATGACTTGCCCCCACTTGCTTACAAAAGATATTTACTTAGTTAAAGTAGGGTATTTGAATATATTTGACTGTGAACAAATAGCACAAAAATATGTGAAAATGGAATTACTGTCAGTAGCATAGGATTAAACTTACATTTTTGCCATAAATTTCAGTTCGTTCTTCATCCTGTTTCAGTAAATGCAAGAATGTTGCTCAGATGGTGTCAAGAGCAAACCAAGAAGTATAGGAATGTGAAGATCAATGACATGTCAAAATCATGGAGAAATGGCCTTGCTTTCTGTGCCATTATTCATCGCTACAGACCTGATCTTATGTAGGAGGGCTATTACTCATGGACTATTGTGTTTAGACATGCTAACCTTAGCATATGTACTAGTTAGAGTGCATGTTGACTGCATTCTGTGCAACAACAGCATCCAGTTGTTTTGTATCTATGGTCATTTCATACTCAGTTTTTACATACTTAAAGTCAGTTGATTTGTACCCAGTTTCATTGGTTTATACCCAAACTGCTGGAATCATATTTGCTAGGTATAAAATGACTGCAGGTATCCACCTTAAGTTTCGATAGGAAACTTAAAGTGCATACCCATGAAAATACAAATTTATTAAATGCATCCAAACTGACTGGAGGTAATAAAAAGTGAGTGATAAAGTTGCTCTTGTTTTTACTTAACATCTCCTTTTTTTTTTTGAGAAAGTGGTCAATCACACAGGGAAGTATAATCATACATGCTGTAATTGTTTCTCTTCCCTGGAGAACCATTCTATGTACTTTTGCATTAGGTCTTTGAAGACAACATCCTAGCTGGTAGTGAGGCTCTTAAGATCAATGTGCAAATTATAATGATTGTGTTATGAATGTGTTTCATTGCAGTGATTACTCTTCCCTGTCACCTAAGGATCATTTGAAAAATACCCAGCTGGTGAGAAAATTTGTCAAGAACAATATGCGTCTCCTACTGTGTTGCCTTGTTCTTGAAGATGAAAAATTCATTTGGTCTATTATTTCTTACTCTTTCAGGCATTTGATGTTGCTGAGGAACATCTAGGAATCCCCCCTCAGATTTCTGCCAGTGAGATGGCCATGAAAGAAGTTCCTGACACTCTGATGATAGTCAGCTATGTGTCACAGTACCATGAAGTGTTCAAAAATGAGACTCCAGGTAAGCTGCGTCTACTATAAAGTACTAAATGTGAATATTAAATTCAGGTAATATTTAGTCTTGATTTATATAGGAGCTAAGGAAGGAGTTACTAGAATATTAGTTCTTAATATCTGTGCTCTTCAGAGGTCTGCATGTTAGAATGACTCGTGTAGTTTCCAAATCTTTGATGTCTCGTACTGGTACCCTAAGAGAGAATGGATGGTGGTATAATATGGAAAAAATATCAAATGAACCAACCAGATAGTATGATGTGAGAAGCACTTTCTTAATAAAACTGTATTCAACCTTGGGCAGTAGTGAGTGTGGGGTTGTTGTTGTTTTGCAGCCGAGAAGACAACTGAACAGTGGGAATTCAGAGCCAAGTCTCCACTGTCCAAGCTGTCTGTGTTAACACGAGTGTCTCGTCGGACCCACAAGGTCAGTAGAAGTGATGTGTTGCCAATTCACATGGAGGTTTTATTTGGGTTTTAGCTCGGGACATTGCAATCCATGCAAATAAACAAGTTGTTGATATGTGCAATATACAATTACACTGATGTTGCTATCCATGCATAGGCAAACATGTTAAACACTCCCCCCCCCCCCCCCCCCCCATAGTGCCTCCAGTTAGCCTAATGATAGACTTTAACCGTTTAACTCCAATGGGTGACCAAGACAGAATTTTTCCTTACAATATCGATATGATATTAACCAGACAAGTGAGGAGAATAAAGGTAAATACTAATTAGGGGATTATTAGATGATCTAATACAAAATTTTCCGTAGAAAATTCGTAAGATTTGTGTGGCGGACAGTAAGGAATTACTGATCAGATTTTGGGAGTAAACGGGTCAACTACATATTCATACATTGTTAATAATGTCTAAATTAGTACGTACGTCCTCCAGAGCTCGTTGTAATTCAGTGTAGTTGTTGTGTTGTGTATGTAATGCGTCGCTGTTATGTACAGATCTGTTACCTTGCTATCTGCTATTGCGTTTATTAATTCTAATATCCGCCTGATGTTTAGAGGAAGTTACAAATCACGCTAATGACATATATGTACACTTAGGAAAAGTATACTCACAATCTTCTAAAGGTCGCACATCAGTCTGTATAGAACTCAGAAAACAGTTTATAAATGTCCTTTTTTTTTAGGAGAAGAGGCGAAACGAGGAAATATTTGATACGGTGTCGAAGAGAAGAAAGGCAGCGTCCAAGGTTAAGACCGTTAGATTTTGAGGCATGTTTGGATATAGTCAGATGCTCGTTCTAGTAAACTGTACGTTTTTTATGAATTGGTTCATGCGCAGTGTGCGTCTATCGAGGAATGGATGTACATGGGAAGTTGGGAGAGCCTCTATCTGGATCGAACACACGTATTGTTACGCAAATACTAATGTTTTTATTTCCGTTTGACAACAGGAGAATGAGGCTCCCACCCCAATGGACACTTCCACCCCACAGGAATCTCTTCAGGCCCCCGCAGTCACTACTGGTAAGACGAGCAATAGAATCAGCGCTTTGGCTGCGCAAGTGTTTGGACCCACAGATGGAAAGAAGGTCAGTGTGTACTGATCTGATTGTTTTATTATTAAAGGGGATTACATGAAAGCTATAGAGTTTTTTTTTCTTCTTTTTAAATAACCTCAAACCTTTGACTACGACCCCTCTCTATCCCCCTTCTGATTTCGATGAGGCTATACAAAGACGAAAAGGTTCAGCTATTGCTGTTATGATATATATATATATATATTAACCTAAAAGGTCAGAACTATGTTTAAATGCTCTCATCTAAACACACCGTTCGACCAATGAGAATGCGCGAAGTGTCTTCGTAATTTTTTTTCCAAATTGTTTGAAATGCGCAATTAATGGAGGTGGCATGCCTTCTCTGCTCAAAGGAGTGGTAAGCAACTGTAGAGCGAGTACAAGTGTGGCCAAGGTGTAGGTGTGTTTTCAGTGGAGGTAGTAAAGATTAATAGTATACAAGCATTTACCCGTCGAGACAAAAGTAGGCGCTAAAAATATTCGTCTCATTGAATGGAGGTGCGCCTTTTATGAGCTGTTAATGTGCTTAGTTTGATCAGCGATAGCTGATACAAAATACTTCATTTGCTGTGGACCAGGATTTTATTATGCCTGTGGAGCAATTTTAGTGCAATTCTATTACAAGTATTTTCAGTCGAATCAAGTGCGTTTTATATGCCTAAAATTTTTATAGTTCAGTTTAGTTTAAGTTTAATTTACAGATTTAAAGGGTTAAAATACTTGTCAAACCTCACGCTTTGAATAGAATATAAGGTTGCCTGCGAAGAAATTTAAATCGGACTCCTGTACTAGGAGTTTGAGGTAAACCAAGTTCAATCTTTGTATCCAATTTTTTTTCCTGTTTAGAACAAGGTACCTTCACTGAGGGACTCGAGTGAACACTGTTTCTTCTGCAATCGTCGTGTTTACCTGATGGAGAGATTGTCTGCAGAGGGCCATTTCTTCCATCGCGAGTGTTTCTTGTGCGAGGAATGCGGCTGCACGCTCAGGCTAGGCACTTACTCTTACATCAGCCCATCATCAGACCAGGACAAGGGACACTTCCTGTGTCACCTGCACTATGATCAGTTGTTGTACAAGATGCAGGAGGAACCCGCTGGTATGTATTCAATCACTTATCTCTCGTCTGTCCTTCCCTTAGCTGTAGGCTTGGTTCTGAAGAGAATGTTTATTATATTTTAATCTCAGCTTAGCATTAGCAGTGGCACTTCCATGGGTGGTTCCTCGTCTACTGTTTTCCAGGTCAAATTAGGCTTCGAATTTTTGCTTGCGGGCAGAAACGAAAAACCGGAGAACTCTGGGAAAACCCTCGGGGTAAGGACGAGAACCAACGACGGAACACGACCCACACATGCTGCAAAGCTCTGAAATCGAACGCGGGTTACGGTGTTGAGAGGCGAGCACATTACTACTGCGACTTTTACTCTCTTAAGAAAGCTCCCTTTTTTCCTCTTTTTGGTGTGCAGGACCCCTCTCGTAGTGATTTTAGTATTTCTTCAAAAGATGTTATCTCTTTTTGTCTCTTTCCTCTATTACTAGACATTATTCTTCTTATTTTGTCTACAGATGAACAGGAAGTTACTGCTAAAGGCAGACCGAAACTTTTGAAATCTAAATCTGAAGCACCGGAAACTTTGTTTAAAAATGTCGAGTTTACAATCGACCCTGATGCAGGAGAACCTGTCAGTTATAAAACCAAAGGAGAGACTGGTGCTCAAATGAACGGCTATCACGAAGAGAAAGAAACGGTCAGCGAGGAGAAAGAAGATCGTCAGAGAGATCGGTCCTACACCTCTGGGAAGTATCGACGATTGGAGGCGCGCCCTCTGAGGCGGTCAAGCATATCTTCTGTACGAAAATCCGACGCTACCGTGCGTGAAAAAGGCAAGGGCTACTCGTTTGACGATGGACTAGACCAGACAGGGGACGGTAGACGAAGAGGTACCCAGCCACTGAAGATCCCGTCAAGGGAGGAAGTTCGAAAGTTTGAGGCGGAGGCTGAGTTTCGACCGGGTACGCCTGGTGAGCTGATAGATGCCACCAAGGGGATGACTGTCGTGGACATCGATATGGAGGAGGCACCTGTTGAGGAGAGAAAGAAAAAGCGAGAGGAAGAGCGAAAGGGCGTCATTGACGCTGTAAAGACAGCAGCTGCTGGCAAATCTTGGGCTAAAAGACAAGAAGCTCAAGAGGGAAAGGTTCAGAAGCTTGGAACGCTAGAGAGGAGAAAGGCGAAGTCGCGACGGGCTATGTATCCGCCATTATCAATGGTTTTCAATCCAGATGAAAAAGAGACTCAAGAGGCATTAGAAGGAATTGTTCAAGCGGCCAACGAAACGGAACGCAACCCTCAGAAAAAGATGCAGCTTAAAATGGTGGACATTTCGCTGGATGATGACACCCCGATTCCTTCTTCCGAAAGGAAAGCTGCTGGTCAAACGAAGGCTGGCCCGAAGACGGTTTCAGTAGCAACCAAGAATGAGCCAACTCCATCACCCAGATCGCCAACCTCACCAACATCACCGGGGAACAAAAAACCTCCCGCAGGATCTCTTGTGGCTGCACGGACGGCCAGATTAACCAATTTGATCGCCAATGACTTCCGTCCTCCGACAGTGAAAGATAAATGGGCCGAAAGAGAGGAATGGAAGAAATCGAGTCCAGTCAAAAACGACGCTGGGAAGAAGTTTGGGAAAGAGGAAGAACTTGAGCCCACAGCCAGTCCAGGCGCTCAGCGGCGCTCGTTACCCAGAGTTCCCTCAGAGGAACCTTTTCACTCTACAAAGGAGACCACCAAGATTGTTCAGCGCAAGCCGACAGGAAAGCCAAGGTTTCGGTTGGGTAAAGTTAGAAAGGAAATTGGGGAAGAAAAAGAGGAGAAAATCGGGAAAGATTCAGTAGATATGGGATTTGTGGTTCTTGATCTGCACGATGGTATTAGTACGCCTGAGAAAGGTATGTGGCAAACAGTTGTGTACGCATGCAGTAGTTCAAACATCCACACTGCTGACCTATCTTGATCTGATGCGATGCAGATCATTTAAACTTCGAGTACTGAAGTTTGCCTGCAATAATGAATGCAGGTTACTTATTTGCAACCGCAATGATGACGAAAAAAACATGTTGTGTGACAAGACTTTTTCTTTTTTTCAATTTATGACTCGTTGTTTTCCATCCAGCTCTTTCTTCCCTCTTCTAACTCTTCAAAATCGTCTTCTATTTACTCTTAGAAGAAGCACTGAATCTGAAAAAAGACGATTCAGGATTGTTCTCTGAATCAAGTGGAGATGAAATGCTGGATGAAAGTTCCAAATTGCAACGAACAAATGCTCGGCGATTCAGCAAGGTAAGGTATCTACTATCAATATACATTCTTCTTTGAGGTTCATCTCAATCACAATACTTCTTGATTTTAGGCTGTCCACTCGAATTTACCTGGTATTATAGGAAATATTGTTTTCACTATCACTTACGTATGTAGCTTAAATTTAGTGAAACCTACTTTTTAAAAATTAAATGTTTATAACTGCTCGTTCATATTCCAGCCGGGAAGACGTGACACCGAGATGCCGGATGATAAAGTGAAGCGACGAGAGCAAGCCAAGATTCGTAGCGCGATGAAGCAGCGAGAATCGAAGCGACTGCGCATGGCACAGTCAATACAACGAGAACTGGAGGAAGTGGCCGTCAAACAAGCCGACTTAGAGCGTGAAGGAGTCGTTGTTGAGAAGACGCTCAGACAAGGAAACAGTGAGTTTCAAACGGTTACCCAGAGAAGTCTCTGCGGAACTTAAAGCTAACTGAATACTTGAGTAGTCTGGTCACACAGAGTTCCCATTTTCTCGGGAAGGAAATAGATTACATGACACTCCAAATCCTTGTCCGCTTTGAGGCCGTTTTTGGTTTCGTCTCGCCGCGCGCTCTCTCCGTGACCAAAGAACATCTACGAGGGAACCAATTCAAATGAAAGAAAGTTGCTTAGCCAAGATTTCGTTTATAACAATCTTATGAAACCACTTTCGTAGTTAATCTACGGATGTTATTATTTGGTTCAAGGCAGTTCACTGCGTTATTAATCTCTATTTTAAACCTTAGATCATTCATTGAAATTATTCTGAGACGGCTTGCCTCACAATGAAAAACGTTGGCGGCAAACGTTTCATTGAATTTGTAGATTATTGATCTTGGTTTCGTCATTGAGATCTTGACTCGCCTTTAATGTTTTGAACAGATTCTGGTTCAGAGGAACAGCAGCTGATGTTTCAGTGGTTCAAACTAGTGAACAGAAAGAATGCGCTGATTCGATATGAGTCAGAACTGGTCATTCAGTGAGTATAAGGGGCCGTCAAACCGCTCTCATATGTTTCTAAAATGTACTTCGCTCTAATCTGTTAGCCTTTCTTCGGCCTTTCTGATCCTTCGTCAAATAAGCACGAAAAACTATAGGTACTTGGTTATAGCCAGTTGCACGCTCCCTGGAGCCTGTGTCGCCCACACGCCCGCTTTTTCTATCCTTTTTTTTCTGGATTCAAGACCTCTTTTTTCGATGGCTTCCCAGTTTGCACTGTATTTTGCTGTGTGCTTCGATCAATTATGATCGTAAGTTATTTAGGAGTGACGGGTAATAGATGCCGGAAAAATGAATAATTGCCCAATTGAGTTAAATAAAAAATCGTGAACCTTATAGGATTCGTAACGTAGAAAGGCAACAGGCCTCGTTAGATAATAATAAATGTAACGTGAATCCAAGAGAGTCTCAATTTTTGTCTGTTTTATTTACAGGGCAAACTCCATTCAGCTTGAGGACCAACAAGGAAGACTAGAGCAGGAGATTAGAGAACTCCTCATGAAAGATGGTAAGCTACACTGATTGGTATCCTTTTAAAAGAATTATGGCTGAAATTAAATGTTTGTATTTATTTACTCTCTGCCGTTGTTCTGTTAGATCCAAGAAAGGATGACAACAGATCCATACAGAAGAAGACCAAACAGCTTGTAGATATTGTGGAGCAGAGGAACGCATTAGTGGAACTGTTGGACGAGGAGAGAAAGAGGTTTGTGGGACTGTGGAGAGGGGGGGGGCCTTTTCCGCCACTACTGGTCTGTGAAATAGTAGTTTTCAACTTTCTTCAGTAGTTCTGTGATGTCTTTAACCACTTTGAACGCGTTGCCTCCTGGTGGGGTCGGAAAAAGATTATATTTTCCTATAGCGAACTTGGACATTTTTGGTTGGAAGGACTGTGTTTTGATGTAAACTTTCTCTCGCAGAGAACAAGAAGAAGACAGGCTTTTTGATGCCATGATTGAAGCGAAAGGTTAGTCTACCTAGTGGTAATACAATTGACCCCTTACCTATGCACTATCATGTTGAGGTATTATTTGATCATCTGCAGACCACTTTTTTTTAATCTTTATCAAATACTGAAACGGCGTCGCGGACTTATTTCATGCGTCAATGTTCTTATATCGGCTGAGATCCCTATATTTTACCGCTCGCGATGTGTATCGTCCTTTAACCTGTTGAAGGCGTTCAGTCAGTAACATGAAGCGTTAAGTCAATGACGCGAAAGTAGCGGCTGAGCGAAAAGCCGAAGAGAGGTCGGGTTGGGTCGCGACCGACTCAAACCTCCTCTTTCTTTTTCTTTTTTTT